ACCCTAACCTTACTGAGTTTTTTGTAGGGAATGTGTTCATGCATAAGCTATGATTCTTTCTCTAAATGCTATTGGTGGGTGGTCTCAGAACATCTCAGTTTCTTTATGTTCCAAACAAAGAATTGGATGGACGCACACAGATTACAAAGGAGCAGCAAAGTTTTATTGAAAAGTAAAGGCAAGAAAGCATAGGCAAGATGGCAAGATGACTCCGGAGCCTCAATCTTTGTTCGATGGGTAATTTATGAGTTGTAGGAGTAAACGGTGGGAATAAGGTGGATGATGTTTTGGAGAGGATTAGAAATTGACAGGTTTATTTATAAGGTCTTGTTCTATAGCATGGGGCTTTCTGGACATGCACTGACACCAATTCCCAGGTTTTTAATTGTATGCATGAGATGCAACCAATATTTTTAAGGTCTTAAGGAGAGGGCTTTTACCAGAGAGATCCAATTGAGGACAGATTTTCTCTTACCAAGCATGCACTATTTTCCAGTATGAACTGCCCAAGAGACTGCCTCATCTTCTGAGGAATTTACAGTTGTAGCTCTGACCATAAAATGACCACAACAGGGAATGTCCAAGGGCAGTGCTTGGTGGAGATAGGAGGAGTTCACCATTGGGTGACCATTTGTTGAGGATGGTTGAATTCCATGATGTTTTTTCTTTTCCTTTTGCTAGCCTGTCTCACAATTGGTTTATAATGTAATGAGGGGACAACACATGGGGGAAGACACAGGTTATGCAAGGAAGACTATGATGAGAACAGAATGAGTTGTCCATGCTATTATGTAACAGAAGTACTACTAAAATAAAACTGACAAGAGAGAAGAATATGTGGTTTAATCCTATGTGGTCATGTTCCTACCGGCATGTCTCTGTCTTGTCAGTTACTCTCTACCTGTCTGTCTGAGAAAGGTTCAGGCTGTGAAATTTTAGTGTAGTTGAGTCTCAGTGATTCTGAAAATAAAAAACCACACATTAGCCAAGCAACTTCAGGTGTTTTAAGGGAAAATTGAATTGGAATTTGAGACAGAAGAGAATATGGTCTCTCTCTCTCTCTCTCTTTCTCTCACACACACACACAAAGAAAAATTTCTTTTTGTGTGATGCTTGGCTTTGAACTTAGGGCCTCATGCTTGCTAGGCAGGTGCTCCACCAACCCCCAAATTTCCAAAATAAAGGCAGAGGTTACCATACCGAGCCAATTATGAAAATCTTAAAAACATGGCAGAAATTCTAGAGGCAACTGGGTGGACTGATATGCAGGAGGTTTGGAAATATATAGAGATTTTATTTACATATTTTTAGGAGCAGACTTGGGCATATGTTTGCATCAAAGTTAAGCAATGTGTCTTTGGAAAATTGGTTTATTTTGGTCAGATTTATAAACTAATTCTTTAAGAGTTGATACTTTTACAGTATTAATGCTTTTAATCCAGAGCATAATAGCACATTTTATTTATTCAAATTTGATTTTGTGTACATCTATCATGATTTATGACTTTCTTGGTATAGACATTTTATTCAAGTTTCTCATTTCATGGAATTTTTAAATAAAGGTTTTTTTTTTAAACAGAGGTATAGTTAACATGTAAGAAAATGTCTTTTTGGTGTACAGGTATATGAGGTGTGGTTTTGTTTCGTTGCAGTACTGTGGTTTGAAGTCAGGGCCTACACCCTGAGCCACCCCACCAGCCCTTTTTTTGTGATGGGATATTCAAGATGGGGTCTCGCAAACTGTTTTCCCAGACTCCCTTTGAACTGTGATCCTCATGGTCTCTGCCTCCTGAGTGCTGGAATTACACGCCAGCGTGTGTGAGTTTTTACACTTGCATTAGTAGGGAACCACGAGCCCATGAGCAGCTCCACTCTCCATGAAATTCCCTCAGCACCTTTCCCATCAACCTCTTAGAGTGATCTCTCAGTGACTTTCCAAAATTCTTCCACAAAACTTTTTGACACAGGGTCTTGCTATGTAGCCCAGTCTGGTATTAACGTTGTGATCCTCCTGCCTTACCTTACCCTTCCTGTGCTGGGATTGCAGACATGTACGACCACATCTGGCTGAGAAGGAAATTTTAGACAGCATTTTCAGTGCACCTGTGTTTTAACTTCAATTTGCTCATGAGGTCAGATGTGGAAATTTTCACTTGTGTCATTATGTTAGTGCTTGCCAACATGACAGTTTTGTAATGCCTTGGAGTTTGGATTTGCTGATCAGGCATGTTCAACCTGCAGAATTACATTTATTTATTGCTTGAATTGTTTTAGCTTTGACCATTGTGAGCTCATTCATGTCGGTGGGTGGGTGTCTTTGCCATTCCCTTGTCTCCATTTTCTCCCTTCCTTCTTTCCTCCCTCCTTCCTTCCTTAGTTTCTTCCTTATTATTTCTTACTTTTGGCCTCCTTTCTATTTTGGCACTTCCTGACTTCCTACACTAGAAGGTGCCCCAGACATAAGTTAGTCATTGATTTAAAGGAGCCCAGAGCAGTGATTTTGACCAGCAACACAATAAGCATGAAGTCCAGAGTAAACAGCTGGCTATTTGTAAATAGGCTGAGCAGTTCAGCGAGACTCCCACAGGAAGGTTTAGTCTAGAGCTGAGTTTATTAGGACTCAGAGCTCACTGAGTAAATAAAGCAAACTTCCAATATCCCTGAGGTGACAGGTCAATGCCCAGAATGAGACTTCTGCTGAAAGACTATTTGATAAAGAAACCCAGGGGAAAGATCTGAAGGCTAGCTCCCTCCCCTGGCTAGGCCCAGGTTTCACAGATGTGCTAGTGTGATAAGTTGTAACCTTGTGCTAGTGTGATATGTTGTAACCTCCTAGTGAGAGGCTAACTGCCACGTCTGCTTTTGTCCTTCCCACTTGCTTGTTTCTGCATTCTGCCGCATAAAAACCCCACAACTGAGGGCTGCAGGGCTGGTGCCATTTTTGGAGAGATACAGGGTGCTGGCCTGCTAGCATAATAAATCTTCCTTTCCTCCAACCACCTGGGTTTGAGTCTTGTTCTCTCTGGTCTGACATTCTTCCCGCAACACACTGACATTGTGAGAAATAAAGAACTAGAAAGTTTAGCTTCTTCCCTGAAGCAGCAGGAGACACAATTGCAGGAGAAAAACAACAATCTCTTAAATTGACCAGCAAATGGCAGGAAGGGCTTCTTCATCTCCTAAGAGACATTTTGGGACATCCTTAGATGCAAGTAGACCTAGCCTTGAAAGAGAAACTTGGAGGACAAGTAGAAGTGGAGTGATTGCGTGCAACTCCAGTGGCCATGACCTGGCTAGTCCCTGGTCCCTCTGGAGAGAGAATAGTGTCTGGGGAACTGGGCCAGGATAAGTGATAACCGTTGATTTCATCATCATTCACTGAGCTGAATCAAACTTTCCTCCCCAAGTTGTTTTAATTGGCTTTAAAGAGTTGGGCCTCAGTGGCAAATTAGTGGTAGATGGAAATTGCCAGTGGAGAGAAGGAGGGGAGCTGCCCCCAGGAGTCCAGGCTGAAGGAAAGAAGGCTTCTGGCACAGGTCTGGTCTCTGCTAACTCAGGCCCTGGAGGATGATCCACCAGACACAGTCCTGGTTTCCTGACTGTCCCAGGGAATACTCTGCTGGTCTGGCACAACCTGCTTCTAGGGGAAGGCATTCCAAACCCCCCCAAATGGTGATTTGCTCTAATTAATTCTCAGTTCATATCCTAGGTGTGGAGGGGACACAAATGAGGGTGATCTATATGTGTCCTGAAGAGATCTTTTCCATCCCCCTATCTGACCCTGACATGAAGGTGGTACATGACAGACAATGCAGTGACCCAGGGAAGCTATCAGGTAAAGGGTGCAATAGTAGGAGGGAGAATGACGTAAGCTCATGTGAAATTGCCTAGACCATAACCACTCACACTATTGCCCAGGTCAGGAAGCAGTTGATGGTGAGGACAATGAGGACCAATTACACAGGAAAGCGGAGATGACTGAGAATGGAGAACAGTGTCTTGCTAGAAGGGAAGTTCATTGAGAGCTACAGATAGGGGACAACTGGAGATTCAGGTGACCACTGTCTAGCTATCAGAACAGAGAGGGTGGGAACTGACCTTCTGGAAACATAGTCTTCAAGTATAGAACAGCAGAAGAGGACTAGAGTGCTGGGCACTTGGCACCATAGAGTAGAACAGAGCTTACTATGACTTAGAGACAGTAGTCCTGGGTTCCAATTGCAATCTCACCACTATTTCATGACCTTATGTCCCTAAAGTGCTATAGAAACTCTAGACAATTTAGTTTTAGAAGAATTTTTCCTGCCTTTAGCCCATGTAAACATGAAGGGACACCAAGAGTTGCATGTGAAGAACAGTTAAGATCCAAGATTCCTGGTCCTAATCTTGTCCCATACCCAGGCTGAATAACAAAACACCAAAAATTTAAGTGGGCACAGTATATAGGTGACGTCATTGTTCTCGCCTTGGAGCTGTAGGGGATAGACTTAAGCCCGGGACAGAGGAAAAATAAACAGCATTGAACAATAACCATCAGAGTGGATAGTTAGGGACCTTTCTGAAATCAATAGTACTGTTGTATGTCCCATGTGAAGAGATCTTCCTTGGTGTCTGTCACCAGCTCCTCCTCTGAGGCCATTAAGGCACGTGAATCTGAGGAAAATCTGCTCTAAAGTCCTCTGAAATTCCACATCATTGTGGTTGCCGTTTTCTTAGGTAGTTGATAAACAAGATAGATGTAGCGACCTCTGATCCTGTTTTTCTTTGCAAAATGAGTAACTCAGAACCAGCCCTTTTTATAATTAAAAATCATGGGATTTATGACTGTGAGCAGCTGTCGGCCTCAAATTTAAAAACATGATCATGATAACCTAACACCAATTCCAAAAATAATCAGTAATTAGTGAGATTTGCACTTATCTGGTCCTCCATTTCTCTCTTTACAAGGATAATGAAATGGAGAATGTGCTGGAGCCATCTCAGCTGTAAACTTTTCTATTCTAGGATCTGAGAATTACCTTCTTCAGGGCTCTTTTCATGTCCTGATTCCTCAGACTGTAGATGAAGGGATTGACCAGGGGTGTCACCACTGTGAAGATGACAGTGGCTACTGTGTCCTGTACTGAATAGGAGGATGAAGGGCGCATGTAGACACCCAAGATCGCCCCATAGAAGAGGGAGACCACAGTGAGGTGAGACCCACATGTGGACAGGGCTTTCCATATCCCATAGACAGATGGCAGCTTCAGTACATTAGAGAAGATGTAGACATAGGAAACAATGATGCATGTGAATGGTGTCAGAAATATCACTCCACCCACAGTGAAGACCATCAGGTCATTGATAAAGATATCTGAACAAGAGAGCTTTAGAATAGGGTAGGGGTCACAGAAGAAGTGGTGCACAGCATTGTAGGAACAAAAGGTAAGTTGCAGTAGGAGAAGAGTGTGTAAGAGAGCATGCAGGTTTGTAATGACCCATGAAATGACCACGAGAAGGACACAGAGTCTGGGCCTCATGATCATGGTGTAGTGAAGTGGACAACAGATGGCTACATAGCGGTCATAGGCCATGACACTCAGGAGGAATCCATCCATGTTGATGAAAGTGATGAAGAAGTAGATCTGGGTCACACACTCCATGTAAGAGATGGACTCACTGCCCACTATGTGATTCACCAGCATCTTGGGGACAGTGACTGATGAAAAGCAGATGTCAACACTGGAGAGGTTGGCCAGGAAGAAGTACATGGGTGTGTGGAGATGAGGGTCACAGCTGATGGCCAAAATGATGAGAAAGTTCCCTGTTATGGTGACCAGGTACATCCCCAAAAACAACCCAAAGAGGACCTCTTCCTGCTCTGCCTTTCCAGAGAGTCCCAGGAGAAGGAACTCTGTGATTGTAGTCTGATTGTGCCCATCCATGTCTGTGGGGAAGAAAGAGTCATCATACAGTAAGATCAGTAGCCAAGATTTTATCAATGGTTTATAGTTTTATCAGTTTACAAATTTATAAAATTTTGTATACTTTAGAAGAGATTACACATTACTTGAAAATATCTGGATTATTTTCTTGCACAACTCTACAGAAAAGCCTGGTAATTTAAACAGGGCTGACTTTCAAATGGCTGTGGTTTGTTTTCTCTATTCTTATTTGATGAATAATATATGTAAGAACTTTCTTATGAAATGTATCACTTAGTGTAAAAATATGGCTTTTAACAGCTCACTTTACAGATGAAGAAACAAGGGATTTGTCAGTGAGATGGTTTATATCAATTCACAGACAATGGATATTAGAGTTCCCAATCGGCTCAGGTGTTTTGTTCTGTATGCTATCTTTTGATTAGCTACCCCTTACCGAAGGTTTGGCCACTTAGCAAATGAGGTATCTGATGCCAACTACATTCCTGAAGATTTTTGTCGGTGGCTTTTCTTTTTCTCAGAATTTGGAAAACACAGGGGCTTTAACAGACCTGCCTGGTGGTTTGTCCTCAGCACTTTCTCTGTCATAAAGATATGGTCACCACAGCTCATAGCTCTGGGTCTGGTGACCTGAGCTGCTGGTCAGTGTTTGTGTAGAGCAGCAAACACTCCCGCCCTTCCTGCCATCAGAAAAAGAAAGGCAGATACCTATGGCAGCTGATTTTTTTTTTCTGTGATGAACTGCATTTACAGATTGACAAAGAGGACTTTCGTGTGGTATCCAAAAGGTAATCCAGGACTAAAAAATCACTATAGGTGTGGGTGTGTCGTGATCAAGTACAATATTGTGACTTTAGTGTCATTGGGAGAGGTCACGGTATCAAGCAGGAAGGAGAAGAGATGTGATCCTGGGGAGTTCAAAGTCCTGAGGGAAAGGAGCGAGAAAGACTACCTACTGCCATGTGAGGTGGCCTGATTGCTGGGCAGAGGATATTTTAGGGTATTCTTTAGGGAGTGTATTAGATATAGGATGTACATATTAAGGGGATAGGAGGGGACTACCAGAGGGGGAGTTAAATTCATAAAATTGAGGAAACCACTGAGATGTGAATTCATTTGTTACCTAGATTCGCTCTCATTGGCAAAGCAGAGCAGTTCTCGAAGAAAGCTAGACATTGCTACTGAGGGAACACAGTTAATGTGGACTGTGTATGTTGAAAGCTTTGGCAGGCATTGGGGGGTATGTAGTCAAGAAAAGCAAGGGAGTTCATTGACTGTAGATGTGAATACTATGGTCTTCAGGACAGACAGTTTCATAGCAGAAGCAGAGGGAAAGGGGTGTGATAGGGATGTCAGGGCATGTGTTCCAGTGGGTTCTAACTGCTACAAAGGCCATGCGTTGAGAACAAGTTGGTATTTTCCCACATTCTTCTCCTAGAGCATTTGTATTAGAGCTTGGCGGCTAGGAAGGGCAGTTGGTGAATAAAATATCACTATTCCACAGTTTAAATCCCAGTTTAAACATCTGTTTATGTGCACGAGAATCAGTCTGTCGTTGAAGGGGATTGTGCCTCACCTGTTCTCCCAGTCCCACTCACCTGTCTGCTGCTGTTGGGCGCTGTCACAGAGTCCCTATGTCTGCTGGCTCCATCTGGACCTGGGTGATGGGAAAGTCACAGCTGGGCTGAGACGTGAGGGCCTTTTCTCCTGGAGGAGAAATTAAGGGTGGGACATGTGGCTGTCTCTGGTCAAGCACGGATGACTGGGAACTAACAATAGATCCCATCCCTGGAGATGGGGGCAGCCATGAGGACTGCTGCCTAGTTGCGGCCCCTAGGGTTAGTCCCCAAAGATCATCTTTAGGGACTTATTCTAATTGCTTATTGTTTGTGTCCCTTCTTAATAGAGAGAATACCAATGTGAAAATATTACTTCAGACTTAAGTACTTGTTCCAAAATCTTGACAAAATTTCCTCTAAAATTCTTCACATTTGGGTATAATTTATTTTCATTATTATTTAGTTAAAATATTTAGCCATTAACTATACTTTTTAATTTGCCTCATTGATTTTTTGATGTATTTTATTTAAATTCAAATATTTGGGAAATTTTTCTAGTTATGTTATTGTTTCTAACTGGCTTTTAAGTAGCATATTTTAATTTCATAAATTAATGGGTTTCATTGGGTTATTTTCCTGCATACATTTAAAATACTTTTACCATATTCTACCACCACCCCCTATCCCCTCTCCTACACCTATCTCCTTCCACATCCCTAACATTCCCCCTATTAATTTCCTAAGGTTTCCCCTAAATTCCGCATGTGAGATTAAACATTCAATGATTTGTGTTTCTGAGTCTGGCTTTCTTGGTTAACATAATGAAATATCATTGTCTTGCAAATAATATCATTTCATTCCTCTTATGGCCAAATAAAATGCCATTGTGTGAATATACCTCATTTTAAAACCACTCACCCATTGACGGCCACATAGCTGGTTCTGTCACTTGCCTGTTGTGTACAGCTCTGGGTTAACATGGCTGTGCTGACGTCTCTGTTAAAAGCTCACTCTGATTCTTGTGCTGTCTTCTCCCAAAGACTGGTATGGCTGCATCACTGGGAAATTCTATTTGAAATTTTTTGAGAAACCTCCACCCTGATTTCCTTAATACCTGGAGTAATTTCAGTTCCTACAAATACTGTATAAGGTCCCCCTGCAACCTCACCAGCAGGTATTGGTTTTGTTTCTTCATGGCAGCTTCTGTGTGGGCGAGATGGAATTTGATGTAGTTTTGATTCGAATTTCTCTGATTGCTAAAGTGAGTGAACATTTTTTCATGTACTTCTTGGCATCACATTGGCATTCTTGAATTGGGGAGTGTGTGTTCAGGTCATTGCCCATTTATTGATTAGATTATTTGCTCTTTTGGTGTTTAATTTTTTTGTGTTTCATATATTCTAGATATTAATCTCCTGTTGGATGAATAACTGGGAAAGATTTTTCTCCCATCCTGTAGGCTATCTCTTCACTCCATTCATATTGAATGAAAAAGGCTCTGCCCAGCCTTTTAAGTTGATGTACTCATATTGGTCAAATTTTTTAGAAATATTTAGTAAATTTATTCAAATGAAGGCAGTTTAAATGATACAGAAATGAAAAACATTAGAAATCTATATACAATAAAAACTGAATATAAATTAGCCAACTCTGCATTCATTTCCAGTTAAACATTCATACAAATACATATTCATCTTTTTCTTTAAATAGGGAATATACAGAAGATTCTGGCAAAAATATCAGAAATACTAAAACTACACTCTCAAGTTTAAAAAATGTTGTAGAATATGTTTCAACAACACTTTACATGAATGTAAGCCACTGACTGAATTCCATGATTTTATCATGCCCAAAGCATGTCTGGTTTTAATTTTTTACAGCAGATATTGGTATCATAACATATTAGCTTATTGATAATTAAGGCATTTGGTCTACCCAGTACCTGGTGGACAAAAAAATTTAATATTGAGTACTTATTATGGTGTTTTAAATTTTCAGTCTTTTCAACATATGAAAATAGATCTATACATTTAAGTGTTTTTTAGAAAAGTTAATAAAAACAAATGATGATTGTTTTTTGTTGTTCCCCATAATGTCCTGTCTTATTTTTTCACATAGCATAAATTATATTCTTTTGCAAGACTTCATTAAGACAGTAGTTCTGAAACAGTGTTACCAAATAACCATATAAATTCTGAAGAGCACAGAGGCAAACAATCCTCAAACTGCATTTTCATCTCATTGAAGTTGAAGCTGCCCTTTTTAGATATTTTTTCACTTTAATGTGAAGTAGATTGTTAGGCTTTCATTATGGGGCTTTTGAAAAGAAAAATGGTTTTGATATTTTCAGAGTTCACAGTTCTCAGAAGAGGCCTATTTTTGGAAATCATGCAGTCCAAAGATGTTTGGAATGACTAAATTCTCATTAGTAGATGAAATCTCTCAGTGCAGCTGTAATAAATAAGCACCACGTCCTCAGCTATATTACCAGTATATCCTGGAGCCAAAGAAAGATTGTTTCCCTGTTCCCACACTCTACTTAATTGCTGTTTTGAAATCTTAATATTGCCATCATTTATAACTTCTGTTTTGGTGATAGTCTGGCCATCAGTTTATTAACACTTAAAGCCAGTTTAGACCAACTCTTGCATATTATTCAAACTTGCTTTTAAGTAATGACTTTCTACAGGCAACAAGTATACACAGCACAAGTGAGATATATTGCTTTTCTTCCCATAAGCTGTCCATGAGCACAGGAAGACAATCTACCACACCTCCCAAGATCTTCCATCCTCTCCAAATAAGCTACGAGTTCACTTTTACTCCTGTTTCTCCAGAAAGTTAAAGCTACATCCAATCTCACGTTCCTGCTGAACAAAACTTGGGCCATTGTTTTATGGTCCTGAGAAACCTCAGGAAAAAACCCACTGTGTTCTGATCAGGCTTTCTGTATGTGATGAACCAGCCTCACTGGGGCTAACCAGGAACGTCCACACAGGAGGCCTGCGTGAGCCAGTTCATTTTCTTTATTCGCCATGTTAGGACCTCCACTTCTAGGGGACTGCTTTTTTCTTTAACAAGCATTTGGAAAGGAATAATGAACTTTCTTTCTTTCTTTCTTTCTTTTTGCTTGCTACAATTTATTTTGAATGACAAAGTAACTAATAGAGGAAAAAATGCTGTACTTTGAATCAGTTTAGTTTTAGCTCTAAAGGACATTAGGTAAAGATCAACATACTACTTCCTTAAGTAAAAATCTCTGATGAGAAACAAAAGCCTCACTGTTTCTTGCTTCCTTCCTTTCTGAATGTCATACTTGCTGCCTGAAATACCTTTCCACATTTACACACTTATAGCACCCAACTGCTTCAAGTTTTAGATGTACTAGTATCTTCTTTGAAGCCAGATTCTGTGAGTTTTCGGTCACTTATATTTCTCTGTGTTTCTATAGTAACGCTCACACTGCATGTGGGTCATAGT